AAATAAATGTCACTGTAATCAGTTACAGTTACACGGAAAATACATGTGATTAAAGTACAATTACTTTTCTCATGATTACATTGGGGGTTACATCTGAAAAATATCTGTAAAAAGCTCGGCTATATGTTGAATAATATTCATTTTGCTGCTTTGCATGTTTTTCATGTGTACAGTGTCTTCCTTTGCAATTTCCAGCCAGTTTAGTAAAGGTTGATGTTATTCTGATGCTTTGAATTTGCAGCGCCACCCCTCTGCCAATTAAATTGCCTCTCAAGCTGTCTTTTGAAAATGGTTAAAAGTTCAAAATATTTGTTAGAAATTTCGAAAAGTAATCAAAAAAGTAATTAAATGATCTAGCTACACTACTATTACATTTTAAATAGGGTAACTTGTAATCGGTAACCAATTATATTTCCAAAGTACCTTCTCACTAAAGAATAATACAAACTTACTACTAAATAAACTCTAAATAAAATAGAAAATAAACATGCAGAGCAATAACAAAAAGAGAATATTAATGTTAGTAAAAAATATCATAAAGAACATACAGACACTACATTGCTAGATACTAACTAAAACATGCAACACAGAAACATATGCAAAGCAATAAAATGGGGAATGTTGACATTAATAGAAATAAATAAGACACTGTGCTGCATTATTATGCTCTATTTGAAACATGCAAAGCAGACGTCCTCAATATAAAGACAAAAAAGTCACTCTCGTATAACAAAACATCAGTAAAAGAAATGCATGCAGGTCCATGAGGACAGACATAGAGAAGTATCAGCAGACAGCTAGTATCTTCAACCAAGCCCAGTTGCCCTTGACTGAGAACCTTCACAGACATCAGCAGACAGCAAGACATAAAGATACTTATTATTAACACTGACCAAGCTGACCACTAATTAATCATTGGATCACAAGCTCTAAATAAATAAATAAATAAAAAGGCCCAGTGCTAAGCTCTGTTGTCCCAAAAAATAATCAAACCTAGAAGAGGATGAACCTAGAACCATGAACGGAAACATGGACGTAGTAAAAATCACTTGTGGAAAGTAACAAAGTACACTTCCTGAAGGATCGATATACAAATCAAAATCCGCTTCTTTCTTTACTGAACTCTACTGTGTTTTGTTCACCTCAGCCTGCTAGTGTTGCAGCACTGGTCTCCTTTATGACAGCTGGCTCTGCAGCGCAGCATTTCACCGCATAAGAGAGTGAAAATTAAAGTGTGTGAAGGTCACGTCAATTTGGGGAGTGGAATTCTCCAGTTAAACTATTCTATCATCAGTTTAATAGTTTTTAACACAAACCTTCAGAATTTGCATCGAGTAGCTCATGAAAAACAAGCTTCTGCTGTGTCAGATACATATTTAATCAACATGTCATATCAACTTGCCAGTATATTTATTTTTTACTATTTATTCTGAGCATTTTTGGCACAAAGATTTAATTTGCAATGAATTAAGTTCTATCTTATGTCTTTATCTGCGTATCACGTCAGACTCTAACATTAAGGGCCTTCCATCGCAGACCAAAGAACCTGTTCAGGATATCCTTAATTGTACTTTTTACTCAATGTCATTTATGCAACATTAGATGCTACAAAGATATTGAAGCTGACGATTCAGATTTTGCTGAAAAAATATGGGATTTGATAAATGTGAGTTGATAAATATAAAAAAATAATAATCTCTCAGCTCCATCTCACAGGCAAAAGGCTGGCTGAGCCCCTGAAGTCGACCACCAGCTGACCGTTAATACCAACAGGAACAAGATCACAGTTTACTGAGTTCACAAACAGAAATGTAATACAAGCTAACAATAGCTGGCTAACATAGGGTCACCAAGTAATTTACTGAACTGAAACTCACAATTCCACAAACAAAATTAAATCAACTAAGCAAGAAGAGAAAACGGTGGTGATGAAAGGAGAAAACTAAAGGAGATAAATACAGAATAATCCATACTTAGTCAATGCCAGGAGGAGAAAGATGGAGAGGAAGAGGAGAGAAAAGAGGAACGTGAATCCAAATTTAAATGAGAACGTGTGAAACAGGAAACGAGTGTTTACAATGAATAACAGAACAACTTCCTGTCCGAGAAAGCGGGGTGGGATCTATTTATTTTTAGATTTCTGCTTGTAAATGCAAAACAAATTGGAATGTCAACAACAATACACAGATAGGCAGTGTACAGAGAGAGTGAGTCCTCTGCACACACAGCCACCAGTTCAACCTGCTCAGCTGTTTCTCATCACAGTCGCTTAAGTCACCCCAAATTTATTTTTATTATTATTTACAAAATTATTATTATTATTATTATTATTATTATTATTATTTAACATAATACATTTTTCATACACTCAGCTCCTGTAGGCTTAAAGGAAGCGGGTTTATAGTGTCTGTGTTTAGTTTGGATTCTGTTATTAAAAGGATTGTTGACATGTTACAAAACCTCAGTGCTGTCAGCCGAAATGTGGCAATGGCTCCAAGTACCAACCTGTCACGTACTTGTCGGATTCTTAGCTTTGTTTGTTATTTTAAAATGTCATCATTTAAATAATAATTTTGCTAATCTCAGACTATATTTTATTTAGTCAGAGACCTTGTAAGGCTTTTCTGTTGAGATTTAATTAAATTGTGAAAGTGTGGCTTGTTTTGTTAAACAGAAACAAGCTGTGCAAGCACCTCTTCCAGGCTGCATTTAGTGCTTTGAGTTACACTGCAGGTCAAACGTTTTACAACACGAAGTCCAGTGAAAAACCTTAAATGGTACAAAAGTAAGCAGCAAAGTTAAAAGCAACATTTACGTCACCAAACTTGAGACATTTTGATATATAAAATTTAAAATTATAATGAAGAGTTTTGTCAATATTTTCACAATAAGACCAACCAGTGACCAACTGATTTCTCTTCCTTCATGAATTGCCTTTTTAGTTGAAATATTCTACAAATAAAGCTCCTGAGGGTGTATTAACACAGGTTGTTCCAAGGTAGGACACCTGTGGAAATTTGTTTTTGCATTAACTTTCAAGGCTTCTTTCACTTTCACTGCTGCAGAATAACTTGAAGTTGTTAACGCATCACATGATCCCTGAAAATTTGTATATCTCTGAATTTTACATTATTTCTCAGTTTTGCTGACCTAAACTGTGTGGTTACCTTCTAAAACAGACAGATACACATTTACAAGATACTTAACCTCTAGAATCACAAATCAAGAACTGAAATATCAAAAGATTTACCCAACAATGGATTAACTATGTAGAGGAATTCATTAGGAGAAGACAGATGTAGTGTAATAAATTATAGATTTAGCAATTTACAGTAACAGCTGCAATCAATCCAATGGCCTATCTTTTTGTTGTTCATTCATTTTCTTTGCATCTTTCGCTGTAAAATATACAACAAATGTTGATTGATGATAAGAGAGCTAGAATTATGACTATTATTACATGTAATCAAGTTTAAATATAAGTTATGCACAAGCATAAACAAATCATGAGAATATTCTCTGCTTTCCTCTGTTTAATATCATCATAACTTGAGCGTCTTTAAGAGAAGATGACTGTACGAATATCCAGTCTGTCTCTAAATCGACTTTGACAGAAACCAGAAACTCAGAGGTCACGACTACATGAAAGAAAGCACACGTACAGTCTGTTTCCTGCAACCTGAACACAGCAAATACTGAACCTTCATCTCACTGACAGCGATCTGTTCTCACTGCAAACACAGTTAAACAATACTAAGGACGTGGGGACCCAGAAACTGCAGGATGACACTTGGATCAAAGAGAAACTGAGTAAAGCTCTACTTATTATTCTTATTTCTTCTTGGATCAGTGGTCACCATAAATAGTGTCTAATGTTTCCAGAAGCATGAGAGAGGTGCTTTCCTTAGGAGCATATATGAAAAGCAGTGGTGGAAAATAACCACCACTTCAGCACTGTGTACTGTGAGTATAATTTTGATTTCACATTTACTACTTAATTATTTTCCATTTTATGTTACTTTACACGTCTGCTCCACTAAATTTCAGAGGGACACAGCGAAAAAACATTTTCATGTGCTAAATCTCTCTCACATTTTTGCTTGTATGAGTGCTCCAAGTCGGACTCAGCTCGTCATAAATTGCTGGTTTCAGCCTGATTAATGCCACCTGTTCACTGCCGTATAAGGCTGCCTGTTCTGCTCCGTTTGTTTCATTCACAAAAATGTTATACCAAAGAGGGGAAAGAAAGAAATTCAGGTCCCACTGTTGGAAATCAGCAGATAAAAAAACAACAAACTTGTGTTAGTAGGAGAAACTGATTAAGTGATTGGCTGATTAACAGAAAATTCTATTTTTGATTATTGATTAATCATTTCAACAGTCTTTTTAACAAAAACGCCAGAAATTCTGTGGTTCCAAGCTCCTCAGATGTAAAGACTTCATGCTTTGTCATATATATATATATGATATATGATATAT